ATGTGTCAGCACTCTTGTATCCCTTGGGTAAATTCCTAGCAGTGCTATTGCTGCGCCATAGGATAGATCTATTTTTGATTTTTTGAGGAACCTCCACACTGTTTTCCAGAGCGGCTGCACCAGTTTGCATTCCCACCAACAGTGCAAGAGGGTTCCCATTTCTCCACATCCTCTGCAGCATCTATAGTCTCCTGATTTGTTCATTTTAGCCACTCTGACTGGTGTGAGGTGATATCTCACTGATGAGGAGTGACGTTGAGTATCTTTTCATGTGCCTGTTGGCCATCTGGATGTCTTCTTTAGAGAAGGGTCTATTCATGTCTTCTGCCCAATTCTTCACTGGATTATTTGTTTTTCTTACTTGACACATCTCCAAAGGCAAGGGAATTAAAAGCAAAAATGAATTATTGGGACCTCATGAAGATAAAAAGCTTCTGCACTGCAAAGGAAACAGTCAACAAAACTAAAAGGCAACTGACGGAATGGGAAAAGATATTTGCAAATGACATATCGGACAAAGGGCTAGGATCCAAAATTTGTAAAGAACTCACCAAACTCCACACCCGAAAAATAATTAAGTCAGTATTTTCATTTCTTTCCCTTATATTCTCTCATTTAGAACAAATGAACAAATGTTCCTGTTAGGCTTTTGCTGGTCCAAGCTGGCTTTCTACTGCCTGCAAAACAGATTGATGCTATTTGAGGCTTTAAAATTCCCCCCATTTAAAATGATCCAGCATTCTTCAGATCTAGAACAAACAGTCCTAAAATTTGTCTTATCTGGTTACAACCAGAAAAGAACCCGAATAGCCAAAGCAATCCTGAAAAAGAAAACCAAAGCCGGAGGCATCACAATCCCAGACTTCAAGATGTATCACAAAGCTGTAATCATCAAGACAGTATGGTACTGGCACAAGAACACTCAGATCAATGGAACAGAATAGAGAACCCAGAAATGGACCCACAAACATATGGCCAACTAATCTCTGACAAAGCAGGAAAGAATATCCAATGGAATAAAGACAGTCTCTTCAGCAAATGGTGCTGGGAAAACTGGACAGTGACATGCAGCAGAATGAAGCTGGACCATTTTCTTATAACATACACAAAAATAAACTCAAAATGGATGAAAGACCTAAACACAAGACAGGAAGCCATCAAAATCCTAGACGAGAAAGCAGGCAAAAACCTCTTTGACCTTGGCTGCAGCAACTTCTTACTCATATGTCTCTGGAGGCAAGGGAAACAAAAGCAAAAATGAACTATTGGGACCTCATCAAGATAAAAAGCTTCTGCACAGTGAAGGAAACAATCAGCAAAACTAAAAGGCAACTGGCAGAATGGGAAAAGATATTTGCAAATGACATATCAGATAAAGGATTAGTGTCCAAAATCTACAAAGAACTTACTAAACTCAACACCCAAAAAACAAATAATCCAGTGAAGAAATGGCAGAAGACATGAATAGACACTTCTCCAAAGAAGACATCCAGATGGCCAACAGACACAGGAGAAAATGCTCAATATCACTCATCATTAGGGAAATACCAATCAAAGCCACACTGAGATACCACCTCACACTTGTTGGAATGGCTAACATTGTTTTTTAATTTTTTTTTTTAACATTTATTTACTTTTGAGACAGAGAGAGACAGAGCATGGACAGGGGAGGGTCAGAGAGAGGGAGACACAGAATCCAAAACAGGCTCCAGGCTCTGAGCTGTCAGCACAGAGCCCGACGCGGGGCTCAAACTCATGGACCGCGAGATCATGACCTGAGCTGAAGTTGGACGCTCAACCGACTGAGCCACCCAGGTGCCCCTGGAATGGGTAACATTAACAGCTCAGGCACCAAAAGGTGTTGGCAAGGATGTGGAGAAAGGGGAACTCTTTTGCACTGCTAGTGGGAATGCAAACTGGTGCAGCCACTGTGGAAAACAGTATGGAGGTTCCTCAAAAAACTAAAAATAGAATTACCCTACAACCCAGCAATTGCACTACTAGGTATTTATCCAAAGGATATAGGAGTGCTGATTCAAAGGGGCACATGCACCCCAATGTTTATAGCAGCACCATAGACAATAGCTGAAGTATGAAAAGGGCCCAAATGTCCATCGACTGATGAATGGATAAAGAAGATGTGGTGTATATATACAATGGAGTATTACTGGGTAATCAAAAATAATGAAATCTTGCCATTTGTGACAACATGGATGGAACTAGAGTGTATTATGCTAAGTGAAATTAGTCAGAGAAAGACAAGTATCATATGACTTCACTCATATGTGGAATTTTAGATACAAACAGATGAACATACGAGAAGGGAAGCAAAAATAACAACACGGAGGGAGACAAACAATAAGAGACTCTTAAATACAGAGAACAAACTGAGGGTTGCTGGAGGGGTTTCGGGTGGGGGAATGGGCTAGTTGGGCAAGGGGCATTAAGGAGGACACTTGTTGGGATGAGCACTGGGGTTATATGTAGGTGATGAATCACTGAATTCTACTCCTGAAATCATTATTGCACTACACGTTAACTATCTCGTATGTACATTTAAGAAAATTAATAAATGAGAAAATTGAAAAAAGAAATGATCCAGGAAGTCTATGCCAAGATACAAAAGTGATGCTAATGACTTGCCCTATTGTCTGCTCTGTGTTGGGCATCACGACAGGTGCTGAAAGTGCAGAAGGAATGGAATCCAGGCCCCCTGTCCACAAAGAACTTACAGTCGGCTACGTACATAGTCCTGTACTTTCAAAGTTACTTTCCTAGGAATGGTAAGGAGTTTATACAGTCATGCACTTTCTCTTATCCAGGTGGGTGGTTAGAAAGGCAGCTATGGCCAAAGAATAGTATTCCAAGAGAAGCTCTACCCTACAAATAGCACGGTATTGAATAGATATAGTCAAGGCCAAGCAGTGAAGCAACCGGATGGGTGCTGTTATCTATTTTAAAGAGAAATGGAAGTTCTGTGTTTGTGCCATTTAAACATTCTTCAGTTCACTCCATGATGCCTTTGACTATTGGAGTAACTGTATTAGATTCATCAAGTAAATCATAAGGGGCAGTCAGGTAAAACAGAATGTCCTTATAAAAAGGGGGAAAAAAAATCCAATGCCACTCTAACCCACAAAATGCTGCCTATTTGTTTTTTCTAAAACATCATTCTAATTTTCATTTTTTTTTCTAGAAAGGATGTTTTCCTTAGAAATGTTTTCAAAACTACTGCTTTGCTTCTGAGGTATCTGTAAGCATTGCGTCTGTGGTTTGTGACATCATAAGCATCCTGAATAAAATAACGTATTGCAACTCACAAGGAGACTGTATCTCCGCAGGACAATTGTAATCTGAAAAGCTTCTAGGTGCACAGATACAATTTTAACGCCACAACTTATTAACAGGAGTTTTGCTGTACTTAAAAAAAACCCACATAGAAACAAAGTCAATTAAATTTTATTACAACCAAGAATATAAAATAAATGCAATGTAATTTATTTTAGTTTTAACAGTCATTTCAAGAAGGATGTCAGGACAACTCAAAAGCGGGAAACACTCAGCTCCAAAGCGGTTGCCCTCCTGCACCCCACGGAACACGCCCCACCGGAGCGCAGCCGGCTCTGAGTGTGCACCTCGCAGCAGAGTGTAAAGCATATACACAGTCATCTCTATAATCATAGAAAGAGGGGTGCGTGCAGAAATGGACTGAAAAGAGAGACAAAGACAGGTACACTTCACAAGTAGGAATTATGAGAATTACAAACTAGGCAGTTTAGAAAGGGTATATACTACATAACATATATAAAAAGTACTTTAAATTGTTGTTAAAAAGGACATCTTCAGTCCAGATTTTGTGTAATACTTTTAGTGTCTACACAGACAAGTCTTTAAAAAAATTAAATAGTATTAATTTACTAAATATTTAGGAGATAACAGTGCATTAAGGATTTTTTTTTCATATAATACATACATATCACTCCTTTGCAGTGATAGCATAGAAGAGTAAGTATGGCCTTAGGTACAACACATTTTTAAAAAATCCTAAAACAATGAACTTTGTTTTATGACATCTGTGACTACTCTTGAAGATTACGGGAGCCTAAACTGCTATGTTTGATATAAAACATTACTTATATTTGAATCCTTCAAGCCTCCTTTAGGCTACCTGCCATTTCGCTGCCTTTCTCCACTCCCTAGAAAGATATCGCCACAGAGTTTAGGATTTGCAATTTTCATAGAATTCTTCCTTCATCGTATAGTTTCTGCGCCATGGTTTTATTCAAAGCAGATTAAGCTGCAAATCTTATCATCCAACATTTTTTTTCTTTTACCCTTAGCAGAGAAAACAGCATCGTTTTAGAGGCATACAACCAGCAGTTGCTTCCCTGGGGATGAGGCAGGGAACATGGAGGCAAATATTGTCCCTTTCCATTCTTACATGTAAATTCTGTTTATAAGAGCCAAAGAGTAGTGCAGAAGACCAAAGTTCTAAGTACTAAAATTTTAAAACCACACAGATATAAAAATATACAGGTCCTTGGCTTTTGTATGTTACTGCAGGATCCACTTTCATCACAAGGATTGCTTCAGCTCATAGTAACAGCCCTGCCGCCAGACTCCCTCACCCTTGAGCTCAGCTGTCCTGAAACTTCTAGAATCCCTTTATCCCAAACACACTTCTCACCAGAAAGCTAATTCGAAAACCGATTTGAATATGGAGGGCAGAAAACCTTCACTTTTATTCCTTCCTTCCTAATTTTTTAAAATGTTTATTCATTTTTGAGAGACAGAAAGACACAGCGCCAGTGGGGAAGGGGCAGAGAGAGAGGGAGACAGAATCTGAAGCAGGCTCCAGGCTCTGAGCTGTCAGTCTGGAGTGTGGCGTGGGGCTCACGGAACTGTGAGAAGTTGGGCGCTTAACCGACTAAGCCACCCAGGTGCCCCTCCTTTTTTCCTTTCAATAACCTTTCTTGGTTTGGGTGTTCTCATGGGCTGAGGGATGTCCCCCTCCCCCTGCGTCCTCAGGGAACATGACAGTAATAAGTTTTCTGGAATGAGGTCACTTGGGGACCACAGAGGTAAATTTTAACGTCAAAAAGCTTCACAGATCTCCCGCGAGGTCCCAGTTTAGGGTCCATACATATGTTAAAGGCTTTGTTCCCCTTTACAGGGAAAAGGAAATCATGAACCACGATTATTTCAAGGGTAATGGGCACCAGTGGGCATCGCCAACTCCAAGGCAAGAACAAGAAGAAAAGGGCCAGTATGAGCACAGTGACCAGAGGAACGGGGATACCTGGCTGTATCTTGGAGAACACGGTGTATTAGGAAAAACTGATGAAATCCCCTCACGGTTTGCCTATCAGTTCTGACAATAAAATTAGCTATATGCAAGGAAAGCAGGGTAGTCCTGTGATTATACAAACACATATCACAAGAACTGTATATCAAAGTTGCTTATAAAGTATCAAGGGGCATGGTATTTTGGTCCATGCACATATTTTATTTGGGCTTTTCTCTTGTTAAATGTTAAGGGCCCCCTTACGGCAGCAACAGGGCTTCTGCTTTCATTTAATTTCCTACAACCGCTTAAGGAGTGCGTTCTGCCTATAAGGTCCACCCCATTGTTGTTGAAAGGCTGCTGTGAACATTTCAAACCTAAGTAATGCCTGTTGTGCTATTTCATCGCTGGCTTTCTCAGAGGTGGACGAACACCTCTTGGTAACAGTTTATTACACAGCAGAATTTGGAATAATAACTCTATCCAAGTGAGTTTAGAAGTAAACAAAAGGACCTTCACACTCATAAGCCATTCCTATCATCCCCGGAGAACTTTCTGTCATGGAATGGATCATAAGTTCCTTAAGGACAGGAAGTATGTCTTGCCCTTTGTGGCTTCCACCCAGCATGGCACTGGGCACATGGTGAGGGTGCAGTGAGCATCTGATGACCAATAACTCTGGACAGTGAGGCTTCAGGGCACAGGACAGAACTATATACAGGTAGCTACATTATGCGGAGGGCTATTAACTTCTCCTTAAAAACAAACAAACAAACAAACAAACAAAAATGGAAGGGGTGAATTATCAGAGAGACAACTAGAAATTCCTTCCAATGGAGTATGTCAACTGTTTCATCTTCAATGTTTGATGAGTGTCACTATACAGCTTTTATTATTAATAAGCATTATTATGCTGAGATCAGTAAGGTCCTTGCTGGCTACAGTATCACATCAATAGTGCAAAATGTATACTGGCTTCTGTCTAAAATCTTACTTTACTTGTATATGGACCCAGAGTATCATTACCAGGTAGATAAGTTCACAAAGAATCGTTTAAAAAATGCATATAACTTGCATATACAACAATCAGCTATTTCTTCTAGCTCAAGAAAACGTTTAAAACAGGGCTAGTGCTGCTAGTAGCATTCAGAAGAACACAAATTTCTTGCCCCTTACATTACAATGGGAGCTCTAAGACTCTATATTTCCCGTGACGCTGGGGGGTGAGGCGGTCCTTTCACTGGCTAAAGAACTCAGCCTCTAATTCATAGATCATGGAAATGCAAATATGCACTTTATCTCATGTAGTCATGTATACTATCTGCCCATAGTTTTTTAGGCACAATTATTAAGTTTTCTCCTAGGGGCAAAGAAAGCATTCAGTGCAATGAAAAGATTCTTGATAGAATTAAGTTTCAGTAACAACAGCAAAATTATGCATACATAATACATACTTCAAACATGAATAAAACCTAAATTCTTAACATGCTTTAAAAATAGTCACTCTATGTCTAATGCAAATATGAATGGAGAACACTGCTCTTAATTTTAAAAGCAGATTAATTTGCAAATTAATTTTGCAGGCTTCTATTTGAGTACTCTTGATTATGTAAGGAAGTGACTCAAGCTGGCCCAGATGCGAAGAAACCAACAGTTCTTTAGAGAAGCCAACTTTATGTACAATACACACTCAAAGCTTTTCCTTCAAAGGTAAACGATACATCATCCTTTGATCAACATTACTCCTTAAAGAAACCCTAGTGCAGTTAATACTCTCTTCCACTTTCTGGTGTGGGGCACCAGAGGGCTGTATTTCATCGAAGCTCTTGAAACCCTTTTTCAAGGCAGACTTAGCTACATGAAGGTTAAATTAGAATTCTTACTGAATACTCTTCAGAATAAGGTGATTCTGGGAACTACGTTCCATATGGATGATTGATTATGTCAAAATTACCACACAATGCAGTTCTTCAGAGCATAAAGCATAGTAACTGCGAAGATCTAGGCTGTTTTTGGTTGTAGGTTCCCTCTGTCCCACTGTGTGTCTTTTCTTAGACCTTCCCTGAAACTAGATAAATAAAAACATAACAGCAAAGTACTTTGGGACAGTAACAGTTTCTGTTTAAGACTTCCATGAGCAAAACAGTCATATTCTGTGAAAACAACGTAGTGCTTTAAAAGGTGCATTTTTACCTGTGTTGCTAGATCAGTTCATGAAGTAGAAAACTATACACCACTGGAGTCTTGTTTCTAAAACATTAAAATCCTATTAAAAGAGCTTTGAAAAGATAAATCATAGTGATTGCTACAGCATGAGAAAGGTGCACCAGGAAATCCTTCCAAAAAATGCTGAAGGTTACAGAAGTTAAGTGCTGGGATTAGATCAGACGCTGTATCAAAGTCACAATGGAACACATGCAGGGAAAGGGTGTCGGGGAAACTTCACAAAAATCTTCTTTAAGTCAGTAAAGAAGAGACGTCCGTCCGTCCTGCAAAATGCTCAGTATGTAGTCTTCCGCCCAAGTGGGTGAGTTTTAAACGGCAGCATCGTCTGCATTTTTGGTTGCTTTCCATGCGGACATCATATTGCTGGGGTCTGTGCCCTGGGCCGCGGCGGTCAGTAGCGGTGGCCCTGGTGAGTCGGGTGGTACTGCGCGCTTTGCTGGGACGAGGAGGAGTAGCCGAGTGTGCTCTGGGACTGGGAGGATCCCTGAACGCTGCTTTGGTAATTCAGGCGAGAACTGGAGTGCTGGGGGAAGGAGAAGGAAAAGGGAATCACCGGCTCAGGACTTAATCACAAGAGGATGGACACAGGAGCCATTTTCAGAGGCCCCTGGTTCCCATCCATGGCAGCTGACAGCTAACTTGAGCTCCTTAATATGTTTCGCTTCTTTGAAATGACAGGGTGCCCTCACTGTAACATGTTCTGGCAGGCATGAAGTTTGGCTGGATTTCTTTGGGACGTGAGCCGCACTGGCAAGAGAAAGGCAGAGGGGAAACCTGTGCTGACCCACTGTTCTTTATAAGAACTCTGCCTATTCTCTGTAAAACTGAGATTTGCAAACGAGAATGATCAATTTGGCACACTGCATTAGTACTCATAGTGCATACTGATATGCTGTTAATTTTCTCATTATAAATAACAACGCTATGATCAAGAAGTCATTTCTAGAGAAGAGAATTTTCAGAGGTAGAGGCTGGAGTGGCAATCGCCAACACGACAAAGCAAGGCAGGCTGGGCAGGATGTGGCAGCAATAAGTGGGTTTTATAAATTTCAGGTAATATTTAGAATAAAAAAAAAATGTTCGTACATGAAAATGCCCTTCACGGAAAGCAGAGACAAATGTATTTCAATTCAATGTCTTGTTATTACCTTAAATGGAACATTTACCTTCATGGTGCCAAGGGCAAATATGAAAAATTATGTAAAAGGAAGAATTCATCTATAGAATAAGAACATGGGGTCTAGTTAAAGGTAAGCATAGCTGGAGCCTGTGTCCTTAACTAAGCTCAGAACGCTGGTTCTTTCCATGAGCAAAGTGGAAAAGATCTTACTAATAAAATTATTACTTGGAGTAAAAAATGTGAATGACCTTGAGGTGGCACTGTGGATTTAAGGAAGGACAAACCAGCAGGGTCCCCCAACTCAGTGTGCAAAGGCTGCCAAACATGATGTGGGAAACAAAGGTAAAAGAAAAAGTAAATTTCCCTACAACCTACAGCCCACTGACAAGTCCTTGAGACAGGCAGAGTGAACTTACTCTAGGAACTCAGCTGCCTGGATGTTAACACTTTGCTAAGGGCAAAAGGCAACCTTAGCTTAACATTATCCCAACCTCCAGGATTACTTTAACATATAAAAATTCCTTTAGAAACTTCCTTTATCTCTACTCCCCAAGATATATGTTGGCCATTATCCTCCAAGCATATGGCCCCCTGATACACATCTGAAGGGTCTCACGACCACGGTTTTACTAGACAATAATAAATGACCTTTTCCTAACAATAGTTAGCCCCCTCAAGATCCTGGAAACCTTGCTTCCAAAATTCCTGAGAGGACCGTGGTCTTCGAATTTACTCTTTCAGATTTTGATTTTCAACAAGTGGAACCAATGAAAGCGCCATTATGTACTTCTCTGCTTGCAGGGACTCTTCCAAGAGAAGATTTCAGGGAAGTGGTTGTGTGAAAACACATGAGTTTGTAGAGATGTATTCAAAATGTAAAGCCAGTTTAGGCAGCTCTTTATTATGTCTTTCTTGTTAATGTTTCTCTTGATTCCAGTTCCTTATCAGTGAGTTTATGGCTCCCTTGCCAGTGGTTTTGTTTTCTATTATCTCCATCCCCCCTTCCACTAGTACCCCGAGGTTCTAAATCTTTTTTTTTTTTACATTTAAGCCCTGCCCCCCCCCCAACTTCTTAGATCTTAGCTGGTTACTATCCTTGAAATTTTGGGTGTTTTTGTGTGTGTGTGCAAGATTCCCTATGCTTATCACAGGTATTTTTACCTCTCTCCCCAAATACTAATCCTTACACTTTTTTCCCCTTTAATTTCCCAAATTAGCAGTACAATGTATAGAGGCCGCTTTTAGACATCAGCCTTGAGCAATGGAAACTCATCAAGGCAAGAGGGGCCACAGCAACCCCCTGGATGAATATAGACAGGCCCATCAGACGACCCACCTCAAAATATCCATAGGCCACAAGTGACCAATGGGCTATGTACAACCAGGCACGTTACCAAAAAAAGGGAGAGTTCCTTACACCCCCATCCATACCTCCTCATCTTCCCCAGGGGCGCCTGAGTGGCTCAGTCGGTTAAACTGTCCCACTCTTGATTTCGGTTCAAGTCATGATCTCACAGTCGGAAGACTGAGCCCCATGATGGCCCCCTTCCTAGGCATGGAGCCTGCTTAAAATTTGCTCCTGATGCTCTCTCACTCTCGTGCCCCCCCCCACCCATGTTCCTCTCCACCCCTCCCCCCTAGCTGGCAGTCCTCTTTCTCAAAAACAAAGCAAAACAAAACAGTCCCCACCCAGTGCCTCCAGGCTGTCCTGCCTACTGCTCTGTACTCAATACCCACTGCCTGGGGCAGACAGTCTCTCCCCTGTGGTCCAGGCTGCTGCTCCCTGGAGGTGTATCCAATAAACCTCTACCTCCTTTGTTCTTTCACCACACCAGTTTCCATCACATGGAGGTCCCACATCTGGCGGCCCCCATCCCATCAAGAGAGATACCACATTTAGACAGCTGTAGTTTTTTTTTTAATCTTAATAATAAAAAGTATCTTCTACTTTCAAAAATGCTTCTAGTGAGATTTAACACTGATTTCTGAGAAGTCGCAATCTTAATCCCTTTCTGTGTTTACGCTACTTCCTATTTCCTCTCAGTGGCAGCAAATCTTTCTCTTCCTGTTGTCGCAAATAAATCTTCCTCTTACTGTTGTCTCTCTTCCAATTGCTTGTCTAGTTCTCTTTTTCTGACCCCAACCTGACTGACAGCTGGAAGGGGAAAATGAGAAATTTTCTTTGAGGAGGAAGAGGCCTGTCTCACCCTCTCTCCTCAGGATGTCAGGAGAAGCAAGTCAAGAAATGAAATGTTCTCCAGTTACATGAAATACGACCCAAACCCTCATTTTCATGTCACGTCCTAGAAACAGGATTGTACCATTTGCACAGTGAAACTCTGGAGTTAAGTACTACTTAATGCTAAGAGGATCTATTACAAAATCCACTTCCCATTTCTTGTTTGAGCGTGAACAAGAACAAATTCGGCGCAGTACCTGATAATCTGCCGGCATAACGGGCCCGCCGGAGTTGGCGCCCGAGGGCGCGAGGCGGGGCTTCTTGTTCGGAGGCACCTGATTGAGGCCCGAGTCCTGACTGTGCTGCAGCCCGGCTCCCGCACCCCCGGCGCCCGCCCCGGCCCCGCCCGCGGTCCCGTTGGTCTGGGTGCTGTTCTGCTGCGGCGGGGGCGCCTGCGGGGGCGCTGCTGCCTGCTGCGTGGGAGCTGCGGGCTGCTGATGTTGGTTCTGCTGCTGCTGCTGGTTCTTGTAAGAAAAAGAAAAATGGCAAACTTGGTATGGTACTAAATCAACAGGCCACTGCTGTCGTTTACTTGATGGGCACCCGCGACGGCCCGCCAACCTGGGGAGCGACCTACGGGGGACACCAAAGTGACTGCCAAGACCAGAGAAGGAAGCAGACCGGGGGAGGGGGTGGGGGGGGGGGGGGGGGGGAGGCGGGAATACAGCATCCCCAAAGGTCAGAGCACTGAGTCCTGAACGGGATTCATTCTGTAAACTTCATTTACATTGCACAGTGGTCCTCCATATCAGCCACAGACATCCCACTGGAGAGCACACAGGGCACACAGGAGAGAGTTCTGCATTCATTAAAACAGCTGTGGGTGCCTGGGTGGCTTCGTGTTAGGCCTCCCACTCTTGGTTTTGGCTCAGATCGTGATCTCAGGGTTCGTGAGATCAAACCCTGCCTCCCGCTCTGCGCAGTGAGCGTAAGTAGGCCGAGCCAGTTTGGGATTTCTCTGTCTCCCTCTCTCTGCCCCTCCCCTGCTTACTTGGGCGCTCTCCCCCAAAATAAATGAATAAACCTTAACAAATAAATAAATAAAACTGCTGTTAATAGTCTTCTCGATCATGATTTTGGAAGAGTGGAGGGATATGGGGAGGGCCTGATCTAGCCAATTAGGAGCAAAGAACAGAATCGTGCTTTGAAGGAAGCCTGAATCAAGCCATGGTGATGACACTGAACAAACAAAACACAACCATTAAGGATCGGGGAATAAAATAGGCTGTAAAACAAATCAGAAGTTCATTCATCTATAAACTCATGATATTTCAAATTGCAAAGTACATCTACAATAAAGTAAGCACATAATTAAAATAGAAGGCAGCCAAATACATAGGAATCATTAAATTGTACTTCCCTAAATTGTCTTTTTGCCTCCCTTGCTCCCTGGAAATAGAAGTGTACCGCGTAGCTTATACCTTGTCACCTTTCTCTTCAGGTTCATCTTCATTAAGGAATTCTCGTTTGGGGTATGGAATCTGGCAGCCAGCAAAGACACTAAAAAATCATTTTTTTAAAAAAAGAATACATATCAGGACCTAAAATCCACAGTATCATTGACCTTGTTAATTTAAAATTCCACTTTTTTTTCCTTAACATATTGCCTACTCTTCATCAGTAGCTACTGTTTGCTGAATGTCTCCCAAGACAACTTAATTTAAGCAGATAAAAAAAGAATTTTGGGGGGCATCTGAGTGGCGCAGTCGGTTGAACGTCAGACTCTTGATTTCAGCTCGGGTCCTGATCCCAGTGTCTCGGGATAGAGCCCTGAGTCTGGCTCCACACTGACCATGGAGCCTGCTTAACATTCTTCCTCTCTCTCTCTGCCTCTCTCTGCCTCTGCCCCTCTCCCCTACTTGTGCGCTCTCTCTCTAAAACTTCAAAACAAAACAAAACAAAACAAGAATTTGTTGTCTAAGTCTTATACTAATTACCACTTTCAATAATAAATTTTAACTGCCATTAGTTGACGTATATGATGTAGAGGTTTCTCCACACAAACTTAATTAGTACTAAAAAATAACTGAATTTGTAATTGCCTCAACAATGAAAATACTTTTTTTTTCTTCAAGAAAAGCCACATCTCTAATAAATACAAGCATATGGGTATAACAAGGATGGGAAATGCAGGGGTTTTGGTAGCACAGTGGATGCACAGACTTTTAAATTCGCAGTTCCCTACTGATTTGGGTCAAACTCATCTGCCCGACTATAAACATCCCACCTGTTCTCAGTTGTAGTTTTCCCTGTAACACTGAATGATGGTCATTCCTAAAACACCTGTTTTCATTCACGCCTCTCTAGAGCACTGCCTGTTTCAGAATATAGTCCCTTTCTCTCCAGAAGTTCTTCTCCAAGGTAGGATTAATGGAAAACTTCAGTAACCCTATAGGAACAAGTGCTTCTCTTACTTTAGTCACCATCTGACATCCTCAACCCGGAGCAAAGGACACGGAAAATGTAGCATACATACTCTAACGTTGGCAAGGGGTCCTCCTGAAAATAGGGATCCTGTAGAGCTTGCTCCGAGGTAATTCTCTTGGTTGGATCCATAGTAAGGAGTTTCTGAAGCTAAAGTAACACATAAGAAATCGATAGCACATGGAAAGGTTGTTTATAAATCAATGTTTTGACTTTTTGTATTAATGTCTAGCAGGATTAATATCAAATGCCATTGCGTATAGCTCACCACAGATTAGTATGGAGCAATTGGCACACTACATACATTTATGTAAAATTGGTAGAAATCATTAGCATTAAAGCCCTTTTGGTATGTCATTTTTTTTTTCTGCTGATAAATCAGAAAAATTGGAAAAAATTAAGTCTGGAAGTCAAGAGTGACATCTCAAAAGAAAAATATTTGATTTTGCCTTAGCATCCACCAATTTCTTTTCTTTCTAAAAAGGAGGAGGGGGGCCTGGGTGGCTCAGTCGGTTAAGCATCTGACTCTTGATCTCAGCTCAGGGCTTGAACTCATGACCTCATGAACACCATGCTGGGTGTGGAGCCTACTTAAAAAAAGGTGGGAGGTGCCTTGGGGGGGCTCAGTTTGTTGAGTGACCAATTCTTGATTTCGGCTCAGGTCATGATCTTGAAGTTCATGGGTTCAAGCCCCACACAGGGCTCTGCACTGACTGCTCAGACCCTGCTTGGGGTTGTCTCTCTCCCTCTCTCTCCCTCTCTCTCTGCACCCCCCCCCCCAAATAAATAAATAAACTTAAAAAGAAAAATCACCAGTTTGGGGCACCTAGGTGGCTCAGTCAGTTAAGTAAGCTTCCAGAGTCTTGATTTCAGCTCAGGTCCTGATCTCACGGTTGTGGGATCAAGCTCTGTATGGGGCTCCCTGCTGCGTATGGAGCCTGCTTAAGATTCTTAAGATTCTCTGCCCCTTCTGGGCTCACGCATATGCATGTGTGTGTGCATGCATGCATATACTCAGAAAGAAAGAAAGGAAGGGAGGGAGGGAGGGAGGGAGGGAGGAAGGGAGGAAGGGAGGAAGGGAGGAAGGGAGAAAGGGAGAAAGGGAGAAAGGGAGAAAGGGAGAAAGGAAGAAAGAAAGAAAGAAAAGCTAGGACAATTCCACGAATGAGACAAGATGGGTCTGTGCTATGGACCCAACTTCCCCATCTGGCAGAGAGGCACCTACCAAGAGGAACACTTTGCTGTCAGGCTTGACCTTGTGTTTCTCCATGTACTTTATGAGGCTACTGTTGGCATACCTGCAAGAACATAATAATCACACATCACTGGAAACACTCACACTTTTTTTTCAAATAATGTTTATTATTGAAGTACAGTTTACACAATAAAACTCCCAGATTGGTTTTCCTATAAGGTACATGTTTAGGCCATTGTCTTTTCTAATGATTAGTGAAAGAATACGTAACCAAATATTGGTAAATGTGTGCAGTGGGAATTGTTAAACACTGTATGTAAGAGTTTCTATTGTTACAATCTCTTTGGAAAATAATTACACATTAACCACTAGAGCTGAAAATGTGAACAACCTATAACCTAGCAATTCCCTTCCTAGGTACATACTCTAAGAGATTCCTTTGTGCATGTGTATCACAGGATGTGTAAACAAGAATGTTCTTAGTATTCCTGTAATAGAAAAAACTGTAAACAACACAAGAGTCTACCAATTAAAGAATGGGTACATTGTTACATATTCACAGAATGGAATATTGAACAATAGTTAAAATGAATACAGAGGTTGAGTGGGAAATAAAAGAAAGAAAACTACAAAAGAAAATACAAACTGTAATATAATTTATATGAAGATAAAAGATATATTAAACTGAGCAATAATTTATTTGGAATACATAATACCTGTAGCAAAACTATAATGAAAAATGTGGAATGACAAATACAAATTCAGAATATATGTTCTTTCCTATATATGAAATATTTCACATTTAAAAAGGTCAAAAAATAAGTAACATATATGTTCATGGTAGAAAATTTAGAGAATATAGAAAAGTATAAAGAAAAAAACTGAAATCACTCGTAATCAAGCCACTCAATGATTAAAATAAACAAAAAAACACTGCCGAGATTTTGCTAATTTTCCTTTGACATTCTTGCCATGCTTTTATATATATGACACAGACACAGAGGGATTTCTGTTTTGTTTTGTTTTTATAAAATTGGGATCACACTATACAAATTGTCCTCTTTTCACTTAATATTGTTTCATAAACATTTTTCCTTGTTCAGTGCTCTCTAAACTACTCATTTGTAGTGGTTCTATACGTATATTCCTAGTGTTACTGACGTTGTTTGTTTCACAATAGTTAAATACAGGTCTTTGTAGGTTAATCTGGTCCACATGGTAGGGAAACAATACTGCACATAGGTGGGAAACAGAGATCCCTTCCAGACTCTGACTCAGTCATTTACCAGTTGTGTGACCTTGGGCAGTTAGTTAACCCTTATGAAAGCTTTAGCTTCCTCATCTGAAAACTAAAGATTACAATTATACCTCTCTTATAGAGTGTTGTGGGGACCATATGAGAAAATGTAGGTAAGGGCTCAGCACCACACCTGACACATAATAAACACTTGGTTAGCTACCTGTAGCTGCTCTGATTGCTTCCACAGGATAAATTCTTGGGTTTATTAGGTCAAAGAGTATGTGCATTGCAAAGCCAGTTTTATGTGCTCTAAAACCTTGCTACATGAACCTGGCCCTCAGATCAGCAGCATGGGCCCTGAGAGCCCACATTAGAAATACAGATTCTCAGGCCCTATCCCAAATTCTGAATCAGAATCTGCATTTTTAACAAGGTCTCCAGGTGATCTGTAGGTATATTAAAGTTTGAGAAACATTTTTCTCACCGGTGGCATACAAGGAAGAGGGCCCATTTTATCATACCCTTGCCAGCCCTAGGTATGTTCATTTTTAAAATCTTTGCCATGTGAGCCTGGGTGGCTCAGTCAGTTAGTGTCTGACTTTGGCTCAGGTCATGATCTCACGGTTCGTGGGTTCGAGCCCCGCGTCAGGCTCTGTGCTGACAGCTCAGAGCCTGGACCCTGCTTCAGATTCTGTGTCTCCCTCTCTCTCTGCCCCCTCCCCACTTGAACTCTCTCTCTCTCTCTCAAAAATAAATAAAAATTAAAAGAATAAAAATAATAAAACAAAATCTTTGCCATGTATATATACAATTTTTTCGGGGCTCCTGGCTGGCTCAGTCAGTAGAGCATGCAACTCTTGATCTCAGAGTTATAAGTTTGAGTCCCATATTGGGTATAGAGATTGCTTAAAAATAAAATCTTAAAAAAATTAAAAAAAAATTTTTTTCCTCCAATACTAGGAACATTTTTATTAGCAAGGTAACCACTAAATTTATTAATGAGAAGAGATTTTAAAGTTTATGCAGAAATGTAGTTTGTCTACATACATGTCTTTGGTCTTTCTGTCGAATCATTGATTTCTCTGGGTTAACTCCAGATTCTAAGTTATTTGTTTCTATCATAAGATCAGACCGTGCTTATTGTAACATTCAATTTAAAGTCAGCTTCTAGATTTCCTTTTAATCCTATTTTCACGTTGCCTTCTACTTAGCTAATAGAAGCTGACACTTTAGAAAGATTACAGAAACTTCTATCACTATTCTTCCTGATTCACTTTAAGAGTAATTTTTTTGGTTCTTTTCATCTGATATAATGAAAACAAGTTATTTTTCCTTTATTTGAGATAATTTTTTCTGGAAAAAAAAATTTTTTTTAATGTTTATTTATTTTTGAGAGACAGAGAACGAGCAGGGGAGCAACAGAGGGAGAGAGAGACACAGAATCCGAAGCAGGCTCCAGGCTCTGAGCTGGACTCAGACACAAAGCCTGACGCGGGGCTCAAACCCACGAACCGTGAGATCATGACCTAAGCCGAAGTCAGTTGCTCAACAGACTGAACCATCCAGGTGCCCCTGGAATTTTTAAATAATATTTTACTTCAGTGGCTTGTATGTACTACTACATTAGATTTAGCTAATTAAAAAAAATTTTTTAATGTTTTATTTATTTATTTAATTTTTATTTAATTTTTATTTTTTTTAACGTTTATTTATTTTTGAGACAGAGAGAGACAGAGCATGAACGGGGGAGGGTCACAGAGAGAGGGAGACACAGAATCAGAAACAGGCTCCAGGCTCTGAGCTGTCAGCACAGAGCCCGTCGCGGGGCTCAAACCCATGGACCGTGAGATCATGACCTGAGCCGAAGTCGGACGCTTAACCGACCGAGCCACCCAGGCGCCCCATAATGTTTTATTTATTTTTGAGAGAGAGAGAGAGACAGAGACAGAGTATGAGTGGGGGAGGGGCAGAGAGACAGAATCCAGGAAGCAAGAGCCTGACATGGGGCTCGAACCCATGAACCACGAGATCATGACCTGAGGCAAAGTCAGACACTTAAACAACTGAGCCACCCAGTCGCCCCTAGATCTAGCTGATTTTTAATAAACTCCTTTCATCTTATGTATTAGTAGCTGCTTTCATGGGGGTACAATTGTTTGCTTAACACATATGGGCTCTTATTGCTGAGCTTTTCCTATGACTTTTCTGAGTTTCATTTATCTTTTAAAGCTCTCCTTTTATTTCTAGTTACTGTAAACACTAATTTTATGCGAAAATTTTCCTTTGGTCTTTAAACAATAAGTGTTCACTGCCGACATTAATATTCTCCATCTTTTATATCATTAGCATGTCTTCAATTACTTGAACCACTTTCATATAATGTCCATTTGACAGTAACTAATGAGCACGTACTAAGTACCAGGCCCTGGGTATACATATAATGATGGATAAGAAAGACATAACCCATACTATCTAGAGGGAAGGCAGACAAGTATTCAAAAGCTAACTGTAGGGGCGCCTGGGTGGCTCAGTCAGTTGAGTGTCCCACTCTTGATTTCGGCTCAGATCATAGAATCAAGCCCCACATTGGGTTCTGTGCTGAGTATGGAGTCTGCTTGGGATATTCTCTCTCTCTCTCTCAAAATTTTTTTTAAAAAAAGGTAACTGTAGGGCAAAGTCATCAGTGCTGAGAGAAACAGCCCAGGATGCAAGAGAGGAGTATGTGACTCAGACCTAGAAGGTCAAGGGAGGCCTCAGCAGGCAAGTGATGCCCAAGGCAAGACCTAAAGGACAAGTAGAAAGGAAAAATAGGAGTTAATCTGAGGAAATGAGTGGGAGTAAAGTATATCCTAGACTGAAGAAACAGCATGTGTAAAAACCCAGAGGTCAAAAAAAAGCTCTGGGTTTTCAAGCTTCTTAAAGAAATTCATGCTGTCTAGGCTGTAGAATACAAAGTGGACAGTTGTGTAGGAGATGAATTTGGTGATGTAGAAGCCAGAGCTCTGTAAGCCATACTAAGGAAGTGAGAGCAATAGTGAATTGAGAGCAGCGAGGAGACCAACATGATCAAATTTGCTTTGGGCAATGACTGTGGTATAGACAGTGAGTTGTAATAAAGACTGGAGGTAGAAATACCACTTGGGAGGCCACTGCAGGACCCTAAGCGAGAGAGAGAGAGAGGTCTAGACTGTAATAGTGGCAGAGTAGATGGAGAGAAATACAAAGAACTGACTAGATTTACTAGTTTTTTGGATCCTGCAGGGTAACATGGAAGAGAAGGCGATAAAAGAAGGATCAGGGATGTCAGGTCTTGGGCTTGAACAACTGGGTGAATCATGGAGTCGTTTCCTAAGATTGGAAATACAGCGGGAGGAAGGTATGGGAGGATAGATGATGAGTTCCATTTTGGACATTTAAGTTAACGTATTTATAGAAATTTCAGGTTGGGATTCCATGAGGCAATTAGACAAATGGGTCTGAAATTGGGAAAAGAGATCTGAGTCGGATGCATAAACTGGGAATTATTAGCATCATCGATGGTAAATTGTGGCCAATAAGATCAGAGAGACTGCCCGGGACAATGTCCAGAGTGAAAAGACAGCCCAAGACAGAACCTTGAGCAATACCAGTGCCATCTTTAAGAGAGAGAGACAGGAAAAAGACCCCACCAAGGACTGTGTAAAAGAGGGGCCAAAAATGACAAGTGCCATTCCCTCCTTCTCTTTATCATGTCTGCTTTTGTTCCTACAAGCTATCCTGTCTTGAAATTTCCTGTTAAGGCACCCAGGAGAAAACCTCTTACACCTCGTCCTCTAGGTGTGTGCATTTGTAACAAACTCCTCGCACTCTGTCACCTTTATTCTCTCACTCCTACTCAATATACACATTCCCACCAGTGTGTTTTACCCTGCTTCCAGGCCATGTGGCCTTCCTTCTGTTGTCCTTCCTGGTTACCTCACCCGGCATTTCAGTCACTAGTCATTATTCAGATAAAGATCAAATCACAGTTGTAGCCTTGAACTGAGCCCTCATCATGCTAAAACAGGAGACACATTTAAACATGATACTGACCCTTAAGATTCTTAAAAGGTCATAAAATACTACAGCCTAAGCCTAACATGTATGTTAGCAACATCTGGAAAATCTTCTTTAAATCATAAGCATAATTAATATATTAAAATCTAAATTTCTGGTTTAAATACTAATCTGTATCTGTTTTTTAAAGGATTAATTTAGGGGCGCCTGGGTGGCGCAGTCGGTTAAGCGTCCGACTTCAGCCAGGTCACGATCTTGCGGTCCGTGAGTTCGAGCCCCGCGTCGGGCTCTGGGCTGATGGCTCAGAGCCTGGAGCCTGTTTCCGATTCTGTGTCTCCCTCTCTCTCTGCCCCTCCCCCGTTCATGCTCTGTCTCTCTCTGTCCCAAAAATAAATAAACGTTGAAAAAAAAAATTAAAAAAAAAATAAATAAAGGATTAATTTAAATATTCCCAGTGAAGTTACTACTTATATTTAATATGAAATTACTTACGTTGTTCTTCTAAAGTCTTTCTGAAGTGTAGGGTATTCTGGCATCTTTCTAATATCTTCCCAATCTTTATCTTACAAAAAAATATCAAATATTGTTATGGAAAATAATGTTACTTCTATCAAAAATCTATTTTAGCTTACAAATATACACAAAAATACCCAAAATATGCTTTTGAAAAGGAATTATTTTGAAATATGACTCAAATATTATTTTGAAAAGAAAAATAAATTACCTGCAGGAAACCCCATGACACTAAATATCCGATCTAGTTGATCATGATGAAAGGGATTGCTTGTTTTTATATCTTCCTGACGACAGTGAAAAATAGGTTCTGAAGTCAACAATTCAGCAAATATGCAACCTATTGCCCATATATCTATGAAAGAAGAAGAAGAAGTGTTTGCACACATTTGTTATATTTCTTGGGTTATAACTCCTAGGTATAATCATAACCTACATTTAAAATTCTTTTCAGTGATGAAATATACAAAGTATGATAACTATATTAAGAAAACATATATATGACATGAAATAGCTATATCATCATATAACAGATTGAAAGCCAAATAAAAAACATTTACTTGTAAATTTCCTAATGAAGATATACTTGGAAACTCAATTTAGCAAGCAAGGAATTTACATTTAGGCAAAGCCTTTCTAACCACTATTAACAATGTAGTCAGTGAAGTATTCAATTGAAAATCTAATACAGGGTATAAAATTCATGACCTGGTAGACTAAAACAATATCATCATCAGGTATATAGCGATTCATTCCTTTAAATCAATTACCTGCATAATGATAGAGCATAATTTCTGATTTAGGAGTCTAGACAACCAGGATAGACCATATAAAATGATTTACAAAAAACTTAACTTTTGTTTGAAAGACTACCAACTTCAGTTTTTCCAACAAATTGTAAGGTCTAGAAGCTAATAAATACAAGTATATATGGGTACAGCATGACACCAGGAGAGAAGTTATTTGAACATAATCACTTGGATTAAGCTGTTCCATTGCTCCAATATTCCAGGAGAAAGTTAGGCATCTTTAAAAGTTTTACTAACCATTTCAAATCACCAGTTTTAGATTATTCTATTTGGATTTTACACGTTGAAAAATTGTAATTTAGATTCTAAGACTATAATATTATATTTACAATGCTTTGCCAAATGTATAAGTGAATTTTTATAAGATATATATTCACACTTGCCCACTTAAATAAATGCTATGTCGTATTTTTTTTTTAAATAATAATGCACAGACCACAGTATAGGATAGAAAAGCACAGTGTTTAGTAGCCTACTAAATGTGGGAATCACATTCTGTAGACAAGCTAATTAAGAAAAAAGTCTAATTACAGCCATTAGCTAGAATTAACATTGGTATGTTATTTCATAAAACAAATTGCTAAATGAAAAAAAAAAAACCATAGTGTAATGTCTCACTCCATTCAGGAACAGTTTCCTTTCACGTAAGTTAGCCTTTTGGATAACGGAAACAAATCACTTCAACACCCATTTTTTATCACACCATTACCTGCCATCTTAAGAGGTTATAAAATATCATTTACTCTTTCTTAATGACTCAGAAGGGTCATCATCAGCATAAGCATCCATCATGAAAGAGTAGAGTAATAACTCTTCAGTGTCTACTATTAAATTCTTTTCTCTCTCCCACATCATGTTGTTGTCACTCTTGCCTCTGACAGTCCCATCTCCCTTCCTGCTGGCTGCCTCTACTATGCAGTCGGCTGGGACTAGTACTGCATGTTTCTGGTCATGCCAATTTCTGGTCTGCCTTCCATTTAAAGGACAGGAGCCAGGATCTAGACCTCCTGAGAACTGCTAAGAGAAGGAACCTCAGAGTAGCAGGTAATGTTAAATTTTAGGGTTTCTTGCCTCATATTAGCCTCTAATTTTAAATGGTCATCTGGTTCCTGTACCATCTATACCCATTTCTCAGCTCTCAGATCTCAAGACTGTTCCTCCCTCCTTCCTTCCCTCCCTTTACACACACACACACACACACACACACACACACACACACACACACACACACACGCTGTCATTCCCCAGCCCCCCTAAATGTCACTCCATAAAACTTCACTGATATCAAATCACCGAACTCTTTTTTTTTTATATGCTCTGAATAGAAATAATACTCATTTCTGACATGAACCAGCTATGGAGAAGAGTAAGAATAAGTGAATGGCTATGTATTTACTCTATGTATTTATGTCTGCTAGGAATGCATTTCAAGCCTGAAAATAACTTATTTGGGGAATATTCTTTCTCTGGGTCTTCTTTCTTAGTTTCTATCCAGAAGGGATAACTGCAACCTAACTAAAATTGAAAATCAGCGATTATATTTTTATCTTTATCTGTAAGTTGTAAACTCATTTAAACTTAATTTCAGTTGTCCTTACCCTCAGGAAATAGGGAATATAGTGGATTTCTAATTCATACTCAGTTAGCTTTACTTCCCCCAAAGATATCTACTTTTATTTCAATGGTAGAACAGCTAATCAGAAAATATTCATAGAACTGTGCTTCTCAACGTCTGGGCTGTCAAAGTGTGTGGACCATGTGCAACAGAACCATTTAAAGGCACGTACTACATATGAGACTTACTGCCACAGATTGGCTCTATCAGAATCTCTGACAGTGGGACAGGCTTTGGTGGGAAGTCACTTAGTTTAACAGAAGGTTTTGGCTGAATCTTCCTTTTCTTACTGGAAATCTCCCTTGTAGATCTAGACTGTGTAGAGCTTGGTAAGAGCCCAGCGCATGTGGATTTCTACTGTTAGCACATCCCCTACTTGCTGCCCTGCATTCTGGGTTATCTCATCATCAGTTCTGTGCTGAGGCACCAACCTGGTGCTGCTCAACTAACATGCCTCTTTCTCTGGCGTCTCTTCAGTCTCCTGCTATCCCCCGGTGCCTTCTGAGACTGTCTAAGAGACTTTACTGCTCTGGATTGAGAGATCTAAGAGAAAAAGCAAACGCAATTCTCAAAGTTTCAAAGACACAGCTCCTCAGTAAAAATCACTCACTGGAATGTAAGTAGAGTCAGGTTCTGATTTTAACCCCTCATTCTGAGAGCCCTCTATTCCTTCTGTCTGCTTGTGCAGTTCTGAATTTTTCACAGACAGCTGACCCTGTCCGTGGCTGAGAGCGTGGCCTTGGTAGCCTCTGAACGCAGCCTCGATGTGGGCTCAGCTGCTGGTGGAAGGGTCTAAGGTCGGTCTCAGACTCCTCTACTGTCAAACACTCATGGGATTTTTCACTAATTGAACAAAATCTTTCGGCAATATTTACAAAGTATTACAAGATTCCAGCCCCTTGCTAGCGTCGCCATCCCTGGACAAAGTATATATATGCTCGGCGTCTCAGTTTTGCAGAAATCAGACCTGATGAATGAGGACATCACTATATTTTATTTTTTGTTTCTCCTTTTACCCACGTATAGGTTAGTTATCTATCGAATCTTTTCCAACATGGGAGCTTCCTTTGTAGTTCTTTGCATGTTACCAGGTTTTTCAGAAGTTTAACAGAGAAAGGTTTGTGCTCATCTGTTTTTAATAATTTCGTATTTTTGGTGCCTTTATTAAATAGAACTCAACAAATGCAGCTAAATGTAGTCAAAACTGGTATCAGTCTAATACCAGTAAACAAAAGATTCCACACAAGGAAAATTTCAAGAAATACACGCAGGAGATTTCGGCACCTCATAGAACTAGCCCATCATAGTGACAGTACTACCCACCTCCTCTCTTTTCACCTCATTTCGAGAAATCTCTAGGTTTGAGTACAGCTCCCTCTTCCTGACTCCCTCAATTCATAGCTGGGCCCACTGAGGACACTGTAGTCATCAGGTAGCAAAACCCTTGTCTGTTCTGGAGCAGACTTTAAATCCTACAGAGAGTGTGTTTATAACAGGTTTTCTTACTCCATTTTTTCTCTTGGCAAAATGGCAAGAGGCTGAGCACAGCTAACCTACCCAGACTCTTATTTCCTCCTGTAATGGAGAAACTGCTACTCTGATCAGCGTCATGGCGGGAGAGAAAAATTAGTCACGTTACTTCTTGTTTAGGAAAGGACGGACGGACGGACTTTCCCCCAGTAGAAGGGCCTTTTGCCAACACCACACTATTCTTGTTTTCTGTTTTTCTTTTTGTGGAGAAAACAATTCTAGAAATCTCTCCAGTTCTTCTGATCAGTGGTAGGTAAGTGCAAAATAAAACTTGTATGTTATCATTTCCGTGGCAATTCAACAGGATCAGATAACTCTATTCTCTAAAAGAAAATGCTTTCTCCTTTTACAAGAACCATATTCTCCTACACGGTTAAAAATCCTAATCTACCAGAATATAAAATGCAGGAATACAGCCGACAATAGGACTTTTACAAAGAGATATAAAGCGGTTTTTACAAAGCAGCTTCATAATTATTATACCATTTGGTATTTATGATAATTTGATGCTAAGATAGTAAATCATTTTAGACTAACTTACCAATGGCCTTTGTATAATGTCTTGCACCAAGCAGAAGTTCTGGAGCCCGATACCAAAACGTCACAACTACTGGATCCAAATCTGCTAGTGGCTTTAGAGGAGAATTGAATAATCTGGCAAAACCCATGTCCGCTAAAAAATGAAATAAGTTAATATAAAACTCAGTCTGGCATGCTACTAGAACCATGCAAGGTTGATGACAACAGCCACTATTGAAGACAATAACTTTATAGAGCAATCCTTTTATTCCTTTTCAACCAGGGGTCTGCCCCAGGCACCAGATCCCCTCTTCTGAGTAGATATTATTATCGTGCCTATTTTACTGATAAAGAAACAGAGGCCTAAAGATATTCTGACTTGCCCAAGGCCACAGAGCTAGTAAATACAGAGTCATAATTAGAATCCAGGTCTGACTTCAGATCCCTGGCTTTCAGAGACATAATATTCTTAAATGTTTTTTTAAACTAAAACAGTCTCAAAATTTCCATAGTTAATTATGACCTCTGGACGCCTCTGCATCTAAACACTGACTACATCTGAGTGTGGCGTGAGCGGGAATTGGCTCGTGGATGCATGAGAGCCAGTTTGTACACATTTCTCCCCAACACTGAGTTGAGTGATGTCATGTGACTTGAAATTGGCTATCATGGGAATATTTACATCATAGAAAACAACAAACGCTACACACTGGAGATTTTTTTCCACCCAGGGAGCCATTGTTGGATAATTACCAGCACATCATATACATGTTTCCAGGAAAATGTACACGATATGTACGAGGTAATTTGTTATAATTCAGGGTGTAACAAAGGTCTATGCCAAAGCTAACTGAGTTAAATATTAGAGGTATACACAAGTAGTAAAAAGAATATTTATTACTACAATAAGTTCCTGAGTGTCTAGCTGGCTCAGTCGGGACAGCATGTGACTCTTGATCTTGGGGTTGTGAATTTGATCCCCAGGCTGGGTGTAGAGATTACTTAAAAATGAAATTAAAAAAACAATCTACCATATAATAAGTCCTTGAGACTATCTAATTTTCTTAAGATTTAATAAATAACAAATACCTTTCATTTATCAAGTACTTCAGAATTACAGATGGTTTTCACATATATCATGTATCACTTCATCTAATCCTCATGCTGGTTTAATAAGTATTTTGTTCCCCACCTCTTAGAGATGAAGAATCTAAAGTCCAAAGCAGTTAAGTGACTTTCCCAAGGTCACAGAGATAGCAGTAAAAATGCTAGTATTCAAACAAACCATGTTATAACTTAGCAGCTATATTCTTAATCATTGATCTGACATCCAATAGATTATACGTATGACAATCACATATCACAGAGGTCAAATCACAAGAATGAAAAACCTCCGTAATTTGAAATATGTAATGTACACAGTATATTTTGACTGTATAAGGGGTCCCAATGAACTATGTAATAGCACATTGAGGTTTAATGTACTATTTAATCATTTAATCTAAAACTGCATGCTATAACATACATTAAAATTTTAATTTACAGCGATTTTGTTTCTTTACAATTTGAATATTTTACAAGGCTTTCTGAGAATGCTTTGGAGAACACAGGTCATAAAAAATAAGGCCATCCAAGGAAGCCTGTGCTGATGCCTACTGTTTCCTAACTAAATTTCCCCCATAGCAAAGACATTCAAAATCTTTCTACCAATATTACGCCTACTTCAAAGCACTGCTTTATGTATTTAATACATGCTGATTGTTGCTGATGGCAAAGTAATGTGATGAAATGTTTCACCCATTGAAAAGTATGTTATTTTTAAGTAAAAGCTGAAGCCAGTATTTCTCCCTTTATTCCCTACCTTCTTAGTTTTATATAAGCCTCATCTATTCAGTGTCAGATGAAATCAAGTCCAAAGGACACCATAAACATTCTTAAAAATAATTCCTGTCTATTATTTGAACTTTAAAGGAATTTCAAACCATTTCTCAAATAATCACCAATGTAGACAAAAGGTAACTAACCTAAAACTGTTCCATTCAACAGATTGCAGTGATAAAATTCTGGTGTGAGTGCTAATGAGACAGTATCAGATGATGAAGAAAAGCAGGAAAACCATGGTGTCTACCACCAAGGAACTGACATGAAGGTGAGGTGACAAAATACACAGAGTAGATAAAAACAGAAGTGCTGTAAGACCAAAGGTGAGTTACCACTGGCTTCTACTAGACTCTAAGTCCTATGAGGGGAGGGCATGTATCTCCTTCATGGCTCTATGTGGCACACTGGTAAACATTTGTGGAAGTGGACCAAATTGAACATGGAACTTGAGCTGGATTCTCAAGGGTGAATCGCTGAATGGTAAAAGGGGCAGGAAGCATTTCAGGTAAGACCTGAAGTCTTCAGGTTGCTGGGGAGGGGGAGGCTTAGGCACAGGGAAGGGCGCGATGCATTTCTCATTTGACTGTGCTTTTCTTTTCATTCAAAAAAGGACTGTGTGGGGCGCCTGGGTGGCTCAGTCGGTTGGGCGTCCGACTTCGGCTCAGGTCACGATCTCGCGGTCCGTGGGTTCGAGCCCCGCGTCAGGGCTCTGGGCTGATGGCTCAGAGCCTGGAGCCTGCTTCCGATTCTGTGTCTCCCTCTCTCTCTGCCCCTCCCCTGTTCATGCTCTGTCTCTCTCTGTCTCAAAAATAAATAAACGTTACAAAAAATAAAAAAATAAAAAAAAGGACTGTGTTAAAGTGTTAAGCACAGGCATCAGAGCATTACTAAGTTTTAAAAAGTAATGTGCTATTACAACAAAAATTAAAAGCAATTTAATCAACTAAATTGTTTTCTAGACTGCTGGTATTACTTCTTGCTTACTTTTAACCTGACTGTATTCCTAATGGTGAACAGAATTACAATCCTAAAACTCTGAACAGTAGGGTAACCAACTGGCCTGGCTAGAATACAGAATTTCGGGTGAGGAGTACTAGAGATATCTGGGAGTAGTAAGAGAAAGACAGCGAGTGCGAGGGACCAGGATAGAGGGGATGACTGGTACAAACGAGGGGAGAGTACAAGATGACAATGATGAATTTGGTTTGAAACAATGGAGCAGAGGTTGCCAGCAGCACATCCAAATTAAGGCAAAGATTCTGGCTAGGGGGAGAGAAGAGAATGAGACTCAGATCTTAGAATGATTTTTACAGAATCCAAGATTTTTAGGCCACACTCATCAATTCCTTAAAGTAGCAATTGTAGAGGGAGGCCACGCCCTGGCCAGTGCAACACAAGGTTACTAGGAGTAAAAGCCAGTAATAAATAAAATGCAGAAGTAAGAGCAAAAGTGGTAAGTAGAAAAACAGAATTATGTGATGTCACGTAGACCAAGGAAAAAGACAGTCTCAAGGCCAGACTGGTCAGAAGAACAAATGACTAAGGCAATAAAGGAAAACCGTGACTAACTACAGGCCACTAGATCTGATGAGACAGAGGTCGTAGGTGACCTTTTTGGAGAGCAGTTTCGATAGAGGGACAGAATTAGAGGACAGATTAGGGTGACTGGAACCAGTGGGTGAACATCGTATGTTCTAGCAGTAGAGGAACAAGGAGGGGAAATTGAATGAATAGTAAAGAAAACAAAATGGATATGAGAAGATTTATTTTAGAATTGGAAAAGGATTATGAAGGCTTAAAGGTGAAGAGGAGAAACTGGGGAAGCAGAGAGTGGAGACAGTGCGGTGTGAGAGTTTAAGTACAATGGGAAGCTATTTAGAAGCTGGGGGACCCCACATAGGTAGGACTCGGGAGGGGACAGTCACTCTTTCTCCGAGACCGTTTCAAAGGCAGCGCTGTGCCGACAAAAAGTGGTCAGTGAGGGTACAGCAGACAGCTTTGATATGGCTGGGCAGCAACATTTGTAGGGAAAGAGACTTTGGACTTGAGAGGCTGAGTAAGCCACAACCTCTCTAAAGTCAGCTCTCCTTCTCTGGAACATCCACCTTACAGGGTGGTTGTATAAAGTGAGGGAACATATGAAAGCATTTATGACACTGGGTAGTAAACTAATTATTTCACTGTCTGTCACAGGGAGGGACTGCCCTTTACCACCCTTTCCCTTTCACCAATGTCTAGCAAAAAGTAGGTCCTCAAATGCCTATAAGGAAAAGAGTGCGAGCGTGAAACAGAGAAAAGTGAGGAGTGGTAGAGAGGGGTGGGGAGGGAAGCAAAACGGAAGGGGGGGGGAAGGAAAGCAGCTACTTGGTTCTTAGTGACCATCAACAACATTTTTCATGACTCTGAATCTCAGTAAACTTAGTGTACAGGTTGAAAGAAAAGGAATTTGGTTTATAACCAACCAACCAAGGAGCACGCTTGGGTGTAGTAGGACAGAATGGATGTGCAATAGGTCAAGTTAGCACAATTCTGCATCACCTCTAGCATGACATATCCTAACAGCAAAGAAAGCAGGTTGATGAAACAATATTTATTTTAAAATCCTTCTGAAAACCATTGGAACATTTAATAAATGCAATTTCTATTACAAAAAAAAAGTAGAATGAAGCATTTCTTCACCTCATTCTCTTCCCAAATACGTCAGAGGTATAAATGATGCCAATTTCTTCTAGAACGATCTTCAGGGTTGCAAAGGGAATCTTAATAAATGGGAAGGACTCCTGTGGGTGCCTTAATCTAAGACCACCACATAAGAGGGTTTATAAACATGTATATTTCATTTGGAAAAAATATGTTGGTACCTGGCACGGCCATGCAGGGGGCGGGGGCAAGGTATGTGGGAAGATGTGCGTGTGTTAGGTCAGGCGGGAGAGATGCCTTCAGGGAAAGAACACTGGTGAAGCCGAGACAAAAGCAAGACTTAGACGATGACATTTAGGGCAGCTGTGCAGGAGAGCAACCACGGCATAAACACGTGCTTGGGTACTGTATGAGAATGAAATTTTTGTGGGCTTGCTTGCCTCAGCTTACTTGGGGAAGAAACCTGAGGCGTTTTATCAACTATCTACCTACACCTCCCGACATATTTTCTTTTTTTTTTTTTTTAATTTTTTTTCAACGTTTATTTATTTTTGGGACAGAGAGAGACAGAGCATGAACGGGCGAGGGGCAGAGAGAGAGGGAGACACAGAATCGGAAACAGGCTCCAGGCTCTGAGCCATCAGCCCAGAGCCTGACGCGGGGCTCGAACCCACGGACCGCGAGATCGTGACCTGGCCGAAGTCGGACGCTTAACCGACTGCGCCACCCAGGCGCCCCCCGACATATTTTCTAAAAACATGACGAGGAAGTCATTTTCAAATTAACTGCTTAAATAAGAGTCTTAAAAAGGGGAAACCATCTTTGCAGTCACTTCAGTTTCTTGATAAATTATTTGAGAAATAATTACCTACCTATTTTGACTCTCCCCCTTTCAGGACCTTCTCCCATTACTAGGATATTTGCTGGTTTCTAGGAATAAAAATAGAGCATTCAAATTACTATGTTTATTCTTTTGACATGCTCTAAAATGGAGAAAAGTTCTTAAAATATGAAAATATCACTTCTGTATTTTCATCAAAACCATAATACAATATTAAATACCCTCTATATAGTTAAAGCATTTGACATACTTGAAGTTAGCACTAACCTTCTATAAACATCTTTGCTTTGAAAACATTTATTTTCAAAATTATACAAATAATCACAAAGAAGTTGAAGCTATCATTTCTGTTTACCCCACAGCAGTCACAAGTGATGTATTTTTTTTAAAAACCTACACATATTATAACTGTCCACTTGCTGCCCACAAGAAACAGTTTTTGTGGTTGAAAAGTGTTTTGTAAAATTTCAAACCACAGTATAATTACCTTCATTTAAATGCATTCAATGGAATATTCCTTGCTAAATATTTCTTAACTACTATAGGAAAACATGATCAACATTCAATAGACTCCATTCATATCCATATGCATTTCAGCTGTAGTTCATGCAAAAGTGCAAAATTCCAAATATAATTTCAAGATGTAGGAAAATAAAAATCAAGGCTAATACAGAACTGTATAAAGAAAAGAATAGATTGCAAATGTATCCATTGCTTTTAAGTCATCCTCATTTGTAGATATTTGGAAACAGAGAACTATGGAAATAGGCTTTTGGGCAAGTCAGTCTCCTCTGTAAACTAGCAAGAGAGAAAATTTCGGATTCATTTATTCAATCAATGAACATATTTTTGTGTCTTAGGGACAAAAAACATATTGACAATCAAGAGGAAAAACAAGCACATGATGAATTAAATCCCTAGCCTCCAGATGCTCTTTACATAAGTAGAAAGAAAAAAACAGAAGCTTTGTATAATATTAGAAGCTAATGCTATGTGTGAGTTATAGAAAGGACTGACGTCTTGGGTTAGAGGTTAAACCAGATTACTTTTAGATCCCTTCCAATTTGCTGGCTCTTTTTTAAGTTTCAATGAAAACAATTAGCACTAAAAAAAAAAAAAGTTCAAAGGAGGAAGTGATAACTAGAATTTCCACTGTTGAGGGAAATGTTCATTGGAGGTGAGGCGAGGGTGGTGTCCATTATCCAGATCCTGAAAAATGACCAGGAACTGGCATGTCAGGGTAGAAGAAGGACAAGGGCAGTGGAGGAGGTGAAAAGGCTATGAACAAGGTAGGCTTAGGAGACAGTAACCCAGACAGAACTCTGGACAGAAACCAGAGAACCCATGTTGGGGGTAGCAAAATTAACCTAGACTCTGGACAGTCTTAAATGTCAGGTGAAGTAATCTGATCTTTAAATGGCAGGCTGTGAGATCCCAGGAGAGGGGGAGCTATCAGAACTAGGTATAAGATAATGAAGGCTTTGTCCAAGGCCTTCTAAGCTGAAATGGAGAGGGAGTTATGGAGCTGAGTAACATTTTAAAGGAGAAATTAACAGGACTTTGTGACTAGTTGAAGTCAGAAGACTAAGACAAAGGGTGATACAAATTTCAGCAAGGTTTTGAGTTTCTGCAACTAAAAGAATGATGGTGCCTTTATTGTGGAACAGTTATGAGAGGTACTGGTTAGGGAGGGGGAACAATGTAAGATCCCTAAGTCATACTATTCAGAAGAGGATTTGAAAATTATTGTCACTGGAGTATGATGACTGAAGACACAAGACAAAATTAGTTTATCGCAGCAGAAAGAGAAAATAGCATCGGTCGAAACCCAGAGCTTCAAGATTCAAGTTCGATAATGATTTATCAAAGATCCATTATAGATAAAACACTATACTGCAGACCTTCAGGAAATAAAGAGAAATAAAACATGAAGCTCAAGACTTCAAAGAGCTTCAAAAATCTAATAAGGAAAGAAAGACAAACTGCTTTTTAGAATACAAGGCAGGTTATGAAAAGTACCAAAAGAGCAAAAGAAAATGTCAGGAATGAATGATTCTTCTCAGTGAATATCAGGATAGACTTTAGGAAAAAGACTTTGGATGAATGAAGGATGACTAGGATTCTGATGGGCCTAAATGAAAGAATGACTTTTCAGGCTCTGAGAACTCTGTAAGTAAGGGCACAGTCACATAAAAATAGAGACGTGGCATACTGGGAGAACCTGCACTAGAGCACAGGATGCTGGAAAGGGGCACCTGGGTGGCTCAGTCAGTTAAGCGTCTGACTCTGGCTCAGGTCATGATTTCGCGGTCCGTGAGTTCGAGCCCCGCGTCGGGCTCTGTGCTGGCAGCTCAGAGCCTGGAGCCTCTTTCAGATTCTGTGTCTCCCTCTCTCTCTGACCCTCCCCCGTTCATGCTCTGTCTCTGTCTCTGTCTCAAAAATAAATAATTAAAAAAAAAATAAGACTGGAAACTACATTGGGAACAAAATGCCACATTAAAGAAACTGGAACTGATTCTATAGGCTAAGCCAAGACAGGACGGTGAGATAATCAGATTTATATTTAGGAAAAAAACTGGTAGCAATGTGAAGGCTGAATTGGAAAGGGTGGATGGATCACAAAGCAGAGACAGAAACCAATAGTCTAGGGAAAAGTAAGGGCACCCTAAATTGTGACAATGGTCATGGGAGAACATATAAGAGCATTTTAAGGTAAGAGTTCAAGACTTGGGATTGCTTTTTTATACCACCCTCTCCACCCTCCATAGTCATGCATTCAACAAATATTGATTAAGCATATTCTATGTATCAGGCTAGATGCTAGAGATGCAGCAGTAAAAATCCATCCAGGAAAAATCCTTGCCCTCATGGAGCTTACATTCTAGTGGGAACAGAAGGGCAATAAATAAACAAATGTACACTATATCAGATATTGGAAAAGAAACCAAGGAGAATACAAGAGATTTCCACATCTGATATTATGGCCGACTAGGTGCTCTAGGGGACCCTGACATTACAGAACCATATGCTGCATAAGAAACCTCCCTTAAAGAATTCCCTGATCTCACAAGAAGTCAGGGATTATCTACAACTCCAAGTGCCGGCCCAAATAATGTATCTTGTGGCTAGAGACTAAAGGAAAGTCAGGATGGGCCTAAGAACAGATGCCAACACTTCAATGGGGATACTGAATCATGGGCCACCAGCAAAGTAAGAAAGCTGAGCCTGCGACCACAAAGTCAGCTAAGACTCTCAAATGGACTAAAATAAACCTAGATACTACCAGTAGAAGCAAAAGAAAACTCTCTCTGAAGGAAAAACTTCTTAATTTAGGCCTAAGGACTAAAACAAAACAGTTTCCTGCTAAAAGCAGATTATTTCCATTTTGAATTAGAAACAACATCTATTCCTACACTATTTATGAGAGATCCACCTAAGCACAAGGGCCATAAAACCTGAAATAAAAGGCTATTAAAAGGTGTATCAGGCAAACTGCTAAGAGTTAGATCAACTATTAGTAATGTCAGATGGAACAGCTTTTAAGATACAAGCATTATTAGGAATACAGATGGTCACTATATAATGATACAAGGTTCAATTCACCAGGAAGAGGCAACATTCCTAAACTTGCCATGGACTTGAAATATATATAAAGCAAAAGTTGATATAACTTCAGGGAGGGAAGAGAACAACGATAATGTTAAGATATAGACTATCCAGAAGACACAGTTAACAAGGTTCATCTAGTGGGCATATACACAACTTTTTATTCAATAATTAGAGAATACACATTTTTCTCAAAGACACATGGAACGTTTACAAATGTTGATCACATACTAGCAAGTCTCAAGAAATTTCAAGGAATTGTTATCAAACAGGCTATGTTCTCTGACTACAACGCAATGAAGTTAAAAGTCAATCACCAAAGTATAAACTTAAGACTCCATATATTTGGAAATTTAAAAATACTTCTATTGTGGGTGGCTCAGTCGGTTAAGCATCCGACTTCGGCTTGGGTCATGATCTCAGGGTTCACAGGTTCGAGCTCCGCATCGTGCTCTGTGCTGACAGCTCAGAGCCTTGAGCCTGCTTCGGATTCTGTGTCTCCCTCTCTCTCTGCCCCTCCCCCGCTCATGCTCTGTCTCTCTCTCTCTCTCTCTCTCTCTCTCTCTCTCTGTCAAAAATAAATAAACTAAAACAACAACAACAACAACTTCTATTGTGTGTCAACTATACTTCAATTAAAAAAAAAGAAAGAAAGAAAGAAAAAGAATCAAGGCAGTAGCATTTAGACTGGTGACCACTGTATTCTTCACAGCCATTACCCCATAGGACAAACAGTGCAACTTAATTAAGAATATCCTTGATGAAAGAGTAAAAAATATTAATTAAATCTCAAACCTTGAGTATACGTATCTTTTTAATACTCTGATAAAATGAGATGTATACATAAAGCATTTCTGTTGCACTATGAAGCCAACAGTTGTCTAGAAGAAAAAGGAGTTGTGCAGTTGTATGCTGCCTAGTTGTTTCTCACTAAATATTTTTGTTTTATTAGATATAGTTATATTTTTAAAGATTTTATTTATTAATTATTTTATTAAAAAAAAATTTTTTTTTTATTTTTTTTTCAACGTTTATTTATTTTTGGGACAGAGAGAGACAGAACATGAACGGGGGAGGGGCAGAGAGAGAGGGAGACACAGAATCGGAAACAGGCTCCAGGCTCCGAGCCATCAGCCCAGAGCCTGACGCGGGGCTCGAACTCACGGACCGCAAGATCGTGACCTGGCTGAAGTCGGACGCTTAACCGACTGCGCCACCCAGGCGCCCCTTATTAAAAAATTTTTAATGTTTATTTTAGAAAGAGAGAGTACAGAGTGCATGTGGGGGGGGGGGAGAGATTGAGATTGAGAGAGAGAGAGAGAGAGAGAGAGAGAGAGAGAGAATCTGAAACAGGATCCAGGCTCTGAGCTGTCAGCACAGAGCCCAATGCAGGCCTCAAACTCATGAACTGGGAGATCATGACCTGAGCTGAAGTCAGATGCTTATTAACCCACTAAGCCACCCAGGTGCCCCTTAAGATTTT